GAGGGAGAGCGTGCGCACGAGGGTTGGAAAAACAACAGTCCTAAGTTGCATCTCTTCCTCTTGCCAGCAAAGCAGACATCACTTTTAGAAAGCACCAGGCTCCACTTTACTGCAGACCTGGAAATAGTTGGGGTCTCTGGGGTATGGAGGCTGCTCAGTCCTTTTCCTGGGCTGGCAAGAGCCTTCTGGTGAGGGACCCTTTTCCCTCTGGAGACTGCAGTTGCCATCTATGCAAGTCCACACAGGCTCTGTAGCCGAACTGCCCTGCACCACCTCTGGCGCACTCTGAGGGTCTCATCTCCTTCCAGTAGCCTGGGACCAGCCCTGCAGGTGTCATGAAGGGGGCCTGGAGGGAGGAGAGGCCAAATCAGCCTGAGAAAGCAGCTGAGGAAGCAGGCAGGAAAAGGGAGGAGGGGGCTGCCTCTCCCTCCTCTGGGGATGGGGTCCAAAGGTTGCCGCCGCTGCTGCCGCTACGCTCACTGGCCTACAAGTGAGGGATCCAGAGGACTTTCCCCACCATAGCTCTGATTTTGCTGCTTTGATAGGTAGTACAGAAAGCCCAAGGTTGAACAGAACTAAACAAAGGTGATCTTTCTGGGAGTTCCCACATCACTAAGTCCTGATTTAATTAACTCTGAGTTTTGAGGTTTGGTTGCCTTCATTACAGGTGATGGGAAGGTACTGGGAAGATTCAGGGTGAGTGGACCTATGGGTTATATCATATTATGATAGTGGTAGTAGCAGTTGGGAGAGGGGCATCCCTAGGAAGTTGGGGGTGTTGGGCAGGTTGCTCTGGGAGCTGTTGAGAGGATGGAAGAAAGATGACAATGTGCATTAGCCCTTGATACTTATCTCATCCAAAATTTTAAAAAATAACAGAAGAAAACAGAATTATGGACAAAACACATGACTGTGATAGTGTGATGGAATGGATAGGCCAGGCTCAGGGAGAAAAACATTTTCTTTCATCTCCTGAAGAGCGTAGGAAATACAAGAGGATGAGACTGGCACCTCCCTGAGGAATTCACAGTGTTGTGGCTGGCATTACTTGGGTGCTGGGGTTTCAGTCTTGCTAGAGGTTGTCGCTAATAAACATAGCTGGACTGAATTTACATGGTCTGTTGGAGTTCCTTGGGTTAGGCCTGACAGATAGACACATAATACAGTGGTGCTTAAAAGCTTGTGAATCCTTTTGAATTTTCAATATTTCTGCATAAATATGACTTAAAATATGACCTGTTTTTCACACAAGTCCTAAAACTAGATAGAGAACCCAATTAAATAAATGAGTCAAAACATTATACTTGTTCATTTATTTATTGAAGAAAATGATCCAAAGCTACATGACCAATGATGCAAGATTAAAGAAGTTTATTAATTCTATGACAGGTCAGGAAAAGTGACATTTTCTTATAAGGGCAAGGTTTTAATATACTGGCTTTATTTTATTAACACAAATATGACCTGTTTTTCACACAAGTCCTAAAACTAGATAGAGAACCCAATTAAATAAATGAGTTACTTGTTCATTTATTTATTGAAGAAAATGATCCAAAGCTACATGACCAATGATGCAAGATTAAAGAAGTTTATTAATTCTATGACAGGTCAGGAAAAGTGACATTTTCTTATAAGGGCAAGGTTTTAATATACTGGCTTTATTTTATTAACACTGACATGCTTTAAGGGTTTAAATAGAAATATGAAACACAAATGTAAAGGAGCAATAATAGCAGAAACAATAGTTCATTTTAGAAGATAGTCCTGAATTTCTAATACGTACCTATCTAGTGTCAAAATTCAAAATTCAGGTTCTGTGATGAATTATTGAAAGAGCTGGTTATACTTATTCTGTTTATGTTTATGGAGAGAAGATAAAAGGAGATATAAAGGTGATCTTGAAATATCTGAAAGGCTGTTATGCGGAAGATGGAACAAACTTGTTCTCTGTTGATCCAAAGGGCAAAATTGGAACCAATGGGTCAAAAATGTACGGAATATGATGAGGACCATATATTAGCAAACACCTCCTTATGGTATTAATTATTTGACAATGAAATGGGAGAGGTAGTTGTATACCTCTCATATATCTCTGATGGTCCAGATTTAAGGTCTGCATAATTACTTTTGAAAGGAAATTACTTTTGAAAAGAAAAAGAAGAGGATGAAATTTGACCCTTAGAAAATATCACAGGTTAGAAAGAAGGCAACTCTTTAAATGTCCATCTCTCAATAACCATCACTTTGAAAGGCCTGAGAAAAGCTCAGGACCAATTCAAGCAGAATGAGAGTTAACACCTCTGAAATAGTCATCTGGGAGTAAAAAGTCTCCTTCAAATATTCTTCATGACGTCCTTCCCTTTGTATCACTGTGCCTTTCATTATAATTGCCTTATTTCTTGACTCACACAGGGATAATTAGAAGAAAGTGTGTGGGGATGCCATAGAGCCAATGTTGGAGGACAGCTTTGTAATCTAAACTAGCCCTTTACCTTCAGAGAGAGCCCTCCAACATAGTACTCTACCACAAATTAATCCCATAATGCAGAAGTGGACAATTTGAATCCTTAGGCTGAATGAGGACCATAGTTTAATTTCATGTGGTTCTTGGCCTAAAAGCAATCAATTCAGACTTCTGGCAAGAATGGTCTGTCCATTTCTCAGCAGGTAGGGAAGAGATGGGGCAGGGAAAGAGAAAACAAATAAAGAGAAAGAGAAAGAGAAACAAATAAAAAGGGAGTGATCAGAAGAGCATAAAGGGATAGTCAAAAGAAAGAGAATGCAAAGCCTAACTAACCACTTCTACTTTTGGCCCCACCAGAACATTGAGAACATAAAATGTCCCATGATGTTCAGACATCCACAAGAGAATGCTTCCATCCACAGAGGAAAAGTTGCCCAGAATGCCAAACATGGTACATATCCCACACAAGATGTATTATCATCCCTGCCATCTGATAAAACCAAAAGCTTGGTCCAATACTTTCCGGGACCCAGGAGGATGGTGCTTGAAGCAAGGGGAGATTATAGATGATCATGTCTGGCTGCTGATAAACATTCCAGGGAAATGACAGGCTGAAAATAGCAAGCAGGCCTCTTAAGAGTGAAGAGTTGGAGAGAAGTTAAGCTATGCAAACTCTCTCTTAACCTTTATTTAAAAGAGCCATACCAGCAGCAATATATTAACCATTTATTAAGCTGCCCTGCCTCTCAACTGCAGTTCAACTTCCTTCTCAGAACTCTTGGTCAAACATGCTTGGAGCTATGCCAAATTTTATAAATCATGGCATGACTTCACTATGTTGTATCATAGCAGCACTAACCATGGCAGGCATGCAATTGACAATAAATGGCTCTGTCTTGAAGCAAGACCACCCACAATAAAAAGAAGGCTAGCTAGTGCAAAAGCCTGTATGAAAAAGGACTCTGCTAGGCGAATCTTTGAGATGCACACTAGCCTCCTCTTGGCCTCTTCTCTTCCCATCATACAGAAGTAACAGCTTGCAAGAAAAGGAAAAGAAGCTATACTACCTACCATATTCTCCTCCCTAGGATTTTGTTTGACGTTTTCAAACAAACTTTACAGGTTTCTGGCAATCTATGGTTAATTATTTTAGTGGGAAATGTTCCTATACAAACCAAACTCCAGATCTACCAAACAAGGGGACAGTAAGAGGCAAGCAGAAAACAGTGATTTGTTTGGAAGATACTATATATGTCTATTTCTGTTCAGAAAAGCCAGGTGTTGGGGAAATTAATTTTGTATTACTTACTTTACCCTAAAGCAAAGATAGGGAAAGTATGGTCCTCCAGTTGTTGCTGGAGCCTCCCAGCATTGTTCACCACTGGCTATACTGGCTAGAGCCAATGGTACTGGAAATTGTAGTTCAGGAAAATCTGCAGGACCACAGACTCCCCATTCTGCCCTAAAGAAGTGATTAATCACATACAAATCACTTTTCACATGAATTATTCCTCACAACATTTACTAGGGACAACAACATTCCATTTATAAGATAGCCTGGGGAGAGTGTCCTTGCACTTAATAAAAAGTCAACATTTTGGAACTTAGCACTGCAAATTCTGAACAGAAAAACTGCATTCTTCAACTTCTATGTGTATTTGCCCTTTCGGATCCTTTAGTTTGCCTGTGCTAACCAAAGGAAAGGAAAGGCACTCTCCTTCCATTCCCAATTATTTAAAATTGATAGAGCCTCTCCCTGGAAGTTCATTGGGCAGATATAGGGGAGTTGGGGAATGGTTAGTCACAGCCCTTCCTGAGCTGCTTTTGTTTGCTAGAACAAAATATGAGCAATACAGTGAGCTGATTGACTGTTGCTGAGGTTTTATTTTTTATATATATATTAATTAAAACACTGCAGTGTTGTCCAAACTTGGCCACTTTAAGATGAGTGGACTTCAACTCCCAGAATTCCCCAGCCAGCATGTCTAGGAAGCTGGAATGTGGTTAGTCACAGCCCTTCCTGAGCTGCTTTTGTTTGCTAGAACAAAATATGAGCAATACAGTGAGCTGATTGACTGTTGCTGAGGTTTTATTTTTTATATATATATTAATTAAAACACTGCAGTGTTGTCCAAACTTGGCCACTTTAAGATGAGTGGACTTCAACTCCCAGAATTCCCCAGCCAGCATGTCTAGGAAGCTGGAATGCTGCAAAGCAAAGTGATAGCCTCCTTTATCCCTACAAATTCCTCTGTGTACATGTGCTTCGTTTAAGAGTGTGCTTGCCTGTCTAGGAAACATAAGCTGGAGTGTACAGGGATGGATATGAAGAGGCTAGAGAAAACAGTAGGGATATACTTGCCAGTTTGCTTTCTGGCAGCAATGGGTAGACTTTCCCATGGCACATGCCCACCACCTCCCGAAGGTTGGTGTGCCCATTATCTATTACCAGTATTAATCAGGAAGACCCCCCCAAAATACACTGGTTCTTGGAAGCAAAAGACAACAGAATACTTTGAAGAGACAAGTTACATACCAAAATGTCCAAGCAGGCAGCTTTAAGTAGCGTGATCTGGTCTGCAATTGTCAAACTTGTGAAACCAGGCAACCGTTTTGCAAATTCCACTATTTTAATAATGCACTTTGTTGCAAGTTCACTGAATTTGTCCCAAAGCCCAAGGTCCAGACGAACTCTATGGTCTGCACTAGAGTTCTAGAAAGAACAAAAGGAATCAGTTGCTATGACAGAATGTAGCGGAAACAAAGACCCTCTAAAAAAAACTTTATTAACCATTTCAGGCTCAGTGAGGTTTGCTGTTGGAACCCCTCTGTTCTTAACTTTGTCCAGTCTTTCCTTATATGCTTTTTCTTTTGCTTATGATTAAAGGCGCCATCTGTCCAGAGGGTAAAATAAATGACAGCATTTCCAAAGGCTACTGATCTTCTTTTCCTGTTAGGTATACAATGTCTACACTGAAAACCCACCCTTTACCGTCAGAACCCAGGAATTAAAATATGTGTAACTGGAAGATTGGTTTTCATGTGTGAGAAAAGTAGCTTCATCCTGCAGAGTATAGTTTGCATGCAATGTGACCCCTTTCCACATGTTTATAGGTTCAGCAAATTAGTTCATGTTAGCCTTTCTTTCCTATGGCTCAACAAAGGTTTTATAACTGTGAAAAAAAACAGTTTATTATGAACAAGAGAAGAACCATCTGTTAGGCAGGAAAAAACAATAAGGAATTCCTTTTCTTCCCTCCTTGCCAAAGATGGTATTTGATGATGGTCTCTTCATCTCTGGGTATATTCATCTGCAAACATTTGCCCACAGAGAAAATATAGTACTTAGTACTATGCTACACACTGGTGCAAGTTGCATCCAGTTTAGTTTAAATCAGGGACGCACAATGGCATAGTGGGGGCCACATCCCTCCAAGTGGATAAGGCTAGAAAAAAAGCTAAATCTGATTTATATATATTAAAATGTAATTATAATGAAAATTAAACCAAGTAATCACAGTTACTACAATTATTCTCCAAGTATTCAATAACTTTCCCATTTGATTAAAGTATACAAATTGACAGCAAGTTCTGAGGGGGCTCTGGGAGCCACATCCATAGCTTATATTGCCTTGGGGCTCAGTCTGTAATACAAATGTTGAAAAATATGGTAATATGCACAACCAGCATCTAGTAAGGAACATGACAGTTTTGTGACCTATCTAGAGGCTATCTGCACCTGCAAAATACAAAACAGAATAGCTCCTAAATCTGACCAAAGTCAGTTAAAACTGAAATATATTGTTTTGGAAAATGAATTATTATGGAAATGAACCTAAAGAGGAGTGGGGAGGACTGATACAACCAAACTGTTAGAACAGGGAGAAGAAGTATCACTGAACTATACCCTCAGTGGTCCAAGACAGCACGGTCAGCAGTGAGGGATGCTGAAATTGTTGTTCCCACACCTGCTTGATAGCGCAGTACTCCTAAAGTAGGAAAGCTAATGTGAATATTATCAGGCCAGGACTGGCACAGGAGTGCACCAATTACAAAAATCTGAAGAATATAAATAGTCATCAGCCTGATGTTTGAGAGAACTGGAAAAGACACAAATACAACTGATGATGAACCACAGTTTGGGATGCAAGAAATATTTTAAAACAGGAAGTGTCTATATCCCTTTTTAACTTTTGTTTTAGGGCCTAGTTATATATAAACTTCTTTTTTCTCTCTCTGTGTTTTTTCTATATTCCTTATGTTTGTCTTTTGACTGTAATAATAAACTACGCTGCCTTGCACTACACTAAAGTAAGTTGAGAGAGAGTCCATGTATAAACTTTCTCATTAGATCTGCTTTTGTTCTTTTTCAAACAAAACCAGAACAATTTGTGATATGGAGGAAGGATATGTGACACCTACTCAGAAGGTAAAATAAAATGGTACTAAACACTTCCACATTTCACTTGTATAGTTTCCTACATATATTGTGCAGGGAGTTGAATTCTAATGTTGGATCTTTTCCAGTGGATTGTATTCTATAGGTGCAACATGCCATACAAGGGGTTAACAGGTTTTGTTTTGTTGACTGCAATTTTCCCTTTTCAGGAACTCTGCATCCTTAAGATTTATTTTATATCCCCCTCAAGGACCTTGGTGAAATGCTGTACATATGCAGGTGGGGAATAAGACCAAGATGTGTAGTCATTTGGGCTGTAGTTAAATATAATAGGCAGTTTATATCCAGTTTCCTAGAAAAATGGCAATATAAAAGGCTTGAACAAAGCAGAGCCTAGGGCTTGAAATCATTTCACAATAGGGTATCCATTTGGAAAGATGTTGCATGAAACCAACAAGTGTGAACAAAATCTTCAGTGGGATCTTACCAGCTCTCTTTATCATGCTTCCTGCCACCCACGCAAGGAAGTGAACGCATCTGTGTCTGAGCCAGTGCCTAACAGCCCTAACAAAGTGTAAATCTAATTTGATTATTATGAAACTGAAGAGAAGAGGCAGTGAATAAAGCAGAGAGTTAGCCTGCTGCTTTGCTGGCCTGCTACATCAAGAGAGACTAACTGAAAACAGCTCGATGCCTCGTAACTATGAGAGGGGCATCCAGAAAGCATTTGTAGCTTTCGTCTGGTAATGGGCACTTAAAAGCATCCCTAGAAACAAGTCCATTTTTAGCCATTTCTCTCCATACTGAATGATAAAATCAAGTCAGCAACGACATACCAGCCAAGTGATGATGCAACAACTTAATATTAAAAAGAAGGTTCCCTCTCTAAGGTTATTGAGAACTATCAAGCTGGAGGGTTTAGCATAGTGTTGTATACAGAGTACTTTCCAAGTGCCTTTTCTGAAAGCATTCATGAACATAACTTAAGGACTCTGTTTCCCATAATACTGCAATGGTGTACATAGGGTAGGATAATACTATAAAACACTCTAGTGATATTTTTATCAGCAGAAAAGCACAACCCTGCTATACAATCAAATTACTCAGACATTTTGATTTTTTATTTATTTTAATTTTTAATTTAAGTGGAGTCCCTGGTTCTTTGTCGTTATCTGTTGCACCCCTTACTAAGAAGAGAAAGACACAGAGATCAGGAACATCTGCAAAAAAAGAAAACAACACAATGCACAACGAAGGAAGATCTTTCCTTTACTGAATTCTACTTGACCAATTAAATATGTTGAAGTTTAGTTAGGTGGGGCTACAAATTTGTGAATCTATAAAGTCAAGGCTGGGCAGCCTTTTTTAAACTGAGAGGTGATTTGCTGGGAACAGCATGGTGGGCAGGGCTGAAGCAAGACATGGGTGGGCTCAGAGCCAAAAGAGGGCACACCCATTCTCTCTCTGATACTTTTTCTCATTTCCTTTGGAATCAGGCCATCGGCCCCCCATGCTATGGTATATGCAAGACTCCTGTCACTTATGGTGTTGTTTGTAGGGGCTCAACGCCTCTTTTATTGTCTTGCCTACCTAGGATTGTACAAGAAGAGTTGTCAGGTGCCACATAAGCTAGCTTAACTTGCAGGTCCCAAACTATGCAGACCTGCTTTAAGGGCAATGGTGACTCTTAGGCAAATTGCCAACTTTTTAATTTTACAATGACCCAAATATTCAGCCTGGAGTTTTTACACTCAAACTGGACTTTATGAAATACAACATTTTTGTGATATCTAATCACAGGCCACAATACAACTGAGAAATAAGTGGACTTCTTAATGGTTTTATCAACCCCATACATCACTCCTTACTAGAGAAAGAGGAGGTAGAAACTCACAACTGAGGCTCCAAGATGCTGGAAAAGATCTGGTTCCCTATGAGATTGTGGCTCCCACAGTGAGTCAGACAGAGAGAACAAAACCTCAGTAGAATTCACAAAGCACTGATGTGCATATGTACAGATCTGGTGAAACAATGTTCACTTACAGAGCCAGATTTCCTGGGAGTATATACACATATACATAAAGTGTTTCAATCCTTCTAGAACTGATAGTTACCACTTTCCTAGCTCTTTGCCTTGCTCAAGATTTTGGTCTTCAATCCCTACCTTGTTTGACTCTTGGGATTTATTTCAGTTCTACTCTCTCGAACTGACTTGACCATATCTTATTCTGCTACTAAACTCTTGGTAATGTGGCAATATACCTACAATATGCAACTGTATTATTAATTTCAATTATGGGTACATATCCTGTGATATAAAACTATTCTTATTGAGAAGTTGGCTGCCCAATTATTTATCCACTAAACACTGAATAATACATTATACTTTGCAGCTCAACACCCCCAATTTTTGCTTTTCTTCCTTGTACTTCCACTTAAAAAGGGCACCTTCTTTTATAGACAGGGTGCACAACTCACCCTGGTTAATTTTTCTTTTCCTTCTCTCTTTTACCATTTCCCAGTAAGATAAAATAAAACCATCATAATTTCCTATTTCCATTCCATTACAATATGTTGTACCTACAAGACACTTCTGTTTAATTGACGTACTGTTATTTTCCGTTCCAAGAATTTGTTTGCAAGAATATGTCCTGTTACATTTATTTTTGGTCCATCAACTAAGTATATTGTTCAGTCATTTATAGGACTATCCAAACTAGATCACTGTACTATAAAAGGATTCTGCTTTAGTGCATGAGATTGTACTAAAAACTTGCAGGGTCCTTCTAGAGCAATTAATTTATCTAATTCTGAGATTCCATCCAAGCTTCCAGTCCTCATTAAACATTTTCAAAGGCATTTTCGTAACAGCTCTTACCGTTGTGTATTTGCCCAACTGGCAGAGTGAAGGGAACGTTTCCTGGTGAGATTTTCTGATTTTCTCTGTGAGATCATCCAACTCTGCTGTCATTTCATAATTCTCCAAGAACTCTTGCTTTAAAGGCTCCTTTTTCTTTTTGTTCCTGTCATTTCTGACAGCTAGAGGCAAGAAAAAAGGCAATTCAAATGTGATTATTTAGATTAACCTACACTAAATTCAATAGATTCTGATTACAGCAATAAACATTAAACAGGCCAAACATACAGAGAACACAGAGAGGAAATCAGTAATTTTATTTAATAGCTTTTAAAAAATTGTGCCCATAATATTAATCTATTAGGAATCTTTCCTTTTCTCTAAAAGATCTGAGATTTCCTTAAGGCAAAGTTAAAAAGTAAAGTGTTATTTTTGACATTAGAATGACTTATTCTTATTTGACAGAAAAATCCCTCCCAGTTTCAGTAAGCGCTGTTGGTATGCAAAAGAATCACCAATGAACCATAATGCAAAACAAAACAGGAACACAAGGGCCTTCTTAACAATTCAGCTCTAGCTCTGCCCCATCTGGCCCATTGCAGGTTGGGAGCCCGTGGGCTCCAACACATTTTTGATTTTTAATTTTCTCTTTATATTCTTTGACTGTAATAATGGGAAGCTGACATTCTGCAAAGCCACATGCCAGCCTTTAGCATCATTTCTGTTTCTAGAATCTGATCTCCAGATGATATGTCCACTGGCATTAAAAATGTACGTTTAGATTGATTGGTACTTTTAGACAGGAATGGTTTACCTGGTTGAAGAGATTTCTGTGGCCTTGCTTGCTGCTTCCCCTGCCACTCAAATTTAGTCCCCCGCCTTTCCCCTCCTGCTGGGGGTTCTGCAGGGTGTGGTCAAAAATGTCCAGATGGTGGCCTTGACAGTGTGACTGAAGTTCCGCCAGTGTTTTATGGGCATCGCACATAAAAAACAGGTGGAGTTTTGATTTCAGCACCACAGCCACCTTCTTGTAACATGGCAGGTTTGCCCAAAGCTGTGTCTCTGTGCATACCTACAGAGAAGAACTGAGATGTTGCTCTAAAAAGGAGTT